CTCGCACTATCGATTGATAAAATTTCGCATTTGTGAGCTACGTTTTTCGTCCAACTTATCTCACACACACACGCTCACGCTCTCTCTCTCTCTCTCTCTCTCTCTCTCTCTCTATATATATATATATATATATATCTATCTCTCCATCTCGCTCTATCTCTCTAACTCTCTCACTCTCTCGCAAGCTCGCTCACTAATCTCGAGCTGCCCGACGATTAGTCATCTCTTATGCCGTTTATCCAGTACGATGTCCCCTTAATTACAGCCATAATTTAAAAATAACCGAGGGACCCCTCTTGTCATGCGCATCGTCCACTTCTTACCGGCTAGGAGTGTCCGGTGGCTCATTTCCGTCTTTAATTGACCCGAAAATCATGCCTTACAAATTTATAGGAAGCGAATTTATTGGAGAAGAAACCGGCAGGAAGAAAAACTGAAAAAGGAACACGACGGTCACTTTTCATCTTCGCAGTGAATAGAGGAGCCGATAATGTAGAATCCTACTTATCCCCGGCAGTTACGGGCCCCTCTTCTAAGCATTGTAGTATTTGGGCCCCCGTTCGTTGCATAACAATAAATGCTGACGTGCAGTTAAAGACTTCATTACGGCGTCGATGCTGCCAGACTCGAGCGATATTTCTTTTCTGTCCTCTCTCTCTCTCTCTCTCTCTCTCTCTCTCTCTCTCTCTTGGGATGTTTAACCTCGACCTCCCGCCCGTCACTCCCTCCCTCGTATTCCTCCCTCGTTTATAGAGACATTTGTGGTTGTGAAATTCCCTTTGATTAAGTGCTAACCTTTTTCTCGAGACTTACTCTTCGGTTTTTAATTTTCAATTTTTCTCTTTTCTCTTTTAGTTGAGTGGAATGCGCGTCGTGACGCGCTCCTTATAGCCCAGCATCAAAACATGTTTGAAGCAAATACTTGAAGAAGACGTATGTGAAAGTAATTTAATGCAGTTACGAATGATTGAATCATAGTTTAACAATGCGACGTGCATGTTTAAAGTATGTTCGGTGAAGAATTCAATATTTCATAGAATTAATCATGCATTTATCGTCGCGATACTTATTTATTTGATGATTTAATATTGATAAGCACCCGACTCTATTTCCATTGTAATACGGCTTAATTTGTGTAATTTAAATTCTTAAACTTTTTCGATAAATCATTTGCGATTTATTGAAGGTTATACGCGGAGAAAAATATTATATTTTTAAACTTTTTCAATTTAATGGTCGCTACTGTCTATGCCTAACTAATAAAAACTTTATGAAATACAGTGGCCCATTCTGGTTTTTAGGCTCTAAATAAATAAGAATATTGTTTATAAGAGAAAATTTAACGAGTAATTGTCATTTAAAAACTCGTTCATTCCTATTTGTAAATTTAATGTATATGTAATATTATGTATTCTTAAGATTTATTGTTCGTCGTCAAACTCTGTTTTTTTTTCCTTTTTTATATAAGGACGATGTAAAAAGGTTGATGATAATAAGACGGAGTTAAAAGAAAGTTTAATACACTTTTCTCATACAATCTAACAGATGTACAATTTTTTATCTGGGGGCTACGCGCGTGTGCGTGGCTGCGTGTGCCTATCTGTGTGATACCAGAGCATCTAAGAATTACCACCGCGTTCGGTCTTTCAGAAATTAAAATTAGCATCTAGTGGGTAAAAAAAAAAAATAGTTTATGCATTTCATTTTATCTAGTCTCAAAGATTTAAAACTGGTTTAGAGATTTATTATGCGTCCATGTGAGCTAAAAGAGAAAAACAAAGTTTGTGAAAGAAGCCATCGTTACTATTCTTTTGAAAGGCATGCGAGACATTAGGTCCTCCTTGTAGTGGAAGTCCCCATACTCTTCGCGTCTATCTCCTTTCAATTCACAATACTAATGCCAAATAACACATGTATCATTATAGTCGATCATTAATGTGCAATTAATATTTATAGAGGAAGAATGCTAAATACGTGTATGGATAATTCACATGAATGCCCGTAATATGTCATGGGACTCGTCGTTACCTTCCCTACTAAATACCTTCGCTCCAAAGCAATAAACGAATTGTCGGAGACAATTTTTTTTTTTTTTTTTTTTTTTTTTTTTATTTTATTTTTTTAACAAAGACAGAAGAAGCCCATCACTCTTTGTACGCATTAATGCGCATATTAAATACTGAAAATTATGAAAGCGAAGGTAGGGGAATGTAGGGACTTGAGCCTGAGGCACGATAATAAATCTTAATAAAGCATTATTCACCTTTCCCTCGCTAATTTTATTTCTCAATTGGCGGGCGCCGAAAGCGATTCTCGCCGCCGAAATTCGCAATGATTCCAATCGCACCGTCTTTCACCGATCGCGAATTGAAAGGACGTCGATAAGCGAGCCGCGTTTCTCCACGTCGGCTCAACCAAAACTACTCGTATCCGCGCTAACATTGGCAATGGCAAACTCGCGCAAATCTACCCAACGATTGCCCAACGTCCGAACGAAATCATCCTCGAATCGGCGCATCGAAAGCCTCCGAAATCGGCAACGAATAAATCACCATCGCCGCGACCCGACGTCGGCGCCGATCGACCAACCTCGATTACTCCTCCTGGCACACGGCTCGCGCAACCCCGACGACTCACCTGAAATTAATTGCGCCACGCGCACGCCTTACCCGTCCCTTTAAGCGGCGCAAGTCGACAACGAGCAAAAAGCCTCGAGTCCCGTTTGATAAGGCGCCTCATTTTCGCAAGCC